AGGCCTGAGCTCTGTCGAAGTGTTGGGCTTTGCTCCCACTTTCATGGAAGTTCCGCAGGATTATCATAGGACAGCACAAGTGACTAATATAACTGGATAACGTTTCGCACGTCGGTTCATTCCTTTTTGATCCAGTTTTACTTCGTCGAGGTGAAAAGATCTAAGGTGCTGAAGGCACAATGAAGTGCAGCACATTCCGTTATTCAAATATCAACGCAGCAGGTTGTTCATGTCCGACTTTGAGTATCTCAGTGATTTTATTGGCCTTTTACATGCAAGGCGCAACTCATAGTCGTGAACACAAACTGATATCCTGCTATTAGGCATCGATTATTTGATTCAGGAATAGACGATCTTCCACCCAAGTGTGCTTATAAGGTCCTTTGAATCCTAGATTCTTCGAGGAGATATGTAGGCGAGAGTACTATGTGTCACTGAATGATCCGAGTCTCACAACTGGTCCATGACGAACTGTTTCCTTAAGATCAATTGGAATTACTACTGGTTAGGTTTATTGCACTTTAATGGCGCTCAAAGCGGCCAGTGCTACCCATTCACAGCAGCATAAAGATTCCTTTTGATAGAAACGTGGTGTCGTCATTATTGCCAATCCTTATAATAGAACTTTATGTGTGCTTGGAGATACCTTTTTGAAGTTAGACAACAGGTCCTGAACGTTCTTTTAAAGTCAGCGATGCGGATTGTGGACCGTCTTTCTTCTTATTGGTATAGCACAAGTTTCTATTTTATGGATTATGGAATATTTTTGATACATTTGAGGAGCTTGTCTCTTATTTGCTCAATAAGGATCCGAAATCTTGAGGGTTATGTTTCGTCTTGAAGTCAGTTTTGACGTCTTTTGTAGACGTAGGTCTCTTGAAGCATGCACCTTTTATCGCATCAGGGTTCTTCTTGTTTGAACCGCGATTTATAATGCATGTGGTCATTGATTACACTAGTTCAAGTGGTAGTGAATGCTTGAAGGAATTGTCCTCATCTGGCGGAGTTTTCTCGAGAGGTTGCTATATATTTTATATTGCATCAGGACCTTTACTTCTTGGTCGCAATTTATAATATATGGCTAGCGATTTTTGCTTTTCTACCCCCTCTTCGAGGTTATGTTCTCCTGGACATAGCATTTCCACTTGTATCTGCCAGTGATGTAGACAGATAATATGGTCGTTTGACAATTCAGGTATTGCTCTTTGTTTACCCTTTCCTGTATCGAGGTCTTGTGCGCATATTAGGCAATTTATATGTAGGAACGAGGTACTCGTAGATCGTGTGTGTCGGTTGCTCAGACCAACATCGGAGTACCAATGAATCAGAACCTTTATTGCTCATCCCCTTCGTCGTGCGGTGTTTTATATATTTTTCTTAAAAAGATGCATAATGCATAGAAAAATTGCATAAAGCATAAAACTTATAGCATTTGCCGCACTCCAGTGGATGTCGTCAGGTTATTTAGCTGATTTAGTCGTTCATTTCTATTGCGCGCAAGGGCGTTCATCTCTTTCTGCAATTAGGCTCGTTGATTAGTCCGTCGAAATACAATTAAGTATTGCTGGACAGATTCAACTTGTTTTGATCGTAGGAACCTTTAGTGCCTTTGTCGAAAGACCTCCTTATTTACGTCCTAGTACAAACATCCTTGATTATAATGACGCTTAAAGCAGCCAGTCAGGAACACAGGTTTGACTTATATAAGGGACATAAGGATGTATTGTCTTCGAATATGAGACAAGTTCAAACTAATCATGTGAGCAGCAGTGAGAGAAGCTCTAAGACAAGCGATGATTGTACGCTTTTGGTGGCACTGAATAGGTGGCAAGATATTAAGGACAATGAATTAAAATTCATTTTTGTAAAGCAGGTGTTCGTAGGGCCGGTTAGGAATAGTAGAGCCTTTTACCAGTTGTAGCGAAGTCAAATCCTCGTGAACACTGGATGCCTGATTTACTTATTATCCGCATTGATTTTAAGTGGTGTCCTTTTCCTCTGAATAATCAAGAGTATAGAGATATTTTTCAATCTCAACTCGCGATTTATAGCGGTCACCGGCTAGACTCGCATGTAGCCGGTTGATGTGTTTTGCTGATCGACCTAATCCTTCATGATGTGATCGATCGCAGGGATGAAGAATCTTCCCATGGGTATTGCCAAGAATGTTCGGTCAGCATATTCTTGGTTTAATGAAAGTTCCCTCAACGAATGATTTTCGGCTCCCCAGCCTTATTCGCTGATTTAATGAAGGTATTGTCTCTTATAAACCTTGGTGAATATCTCCGAATTTCTTTTTGTTGAGAAGGATCAGTCAGCGATTGAGCGGTTTCGATTACCGAGAGTTGCATTATTATCTCCTATTATCTCCGGACGCTTTTTCGACTAAAGATATTCATATTGGAGTATTCCATCCTTGTGATGTAAGGATGCTTTACCAGTCATGTCGGGCTTATTGTACTTTTATGGCGCTCAAAGCTGCCAGTACTGCCTTAAATGACAAAGGTTGATTGAGTGCACGGGAACTTGATGTTGTGGTGTCATGCCCTTATTGCCTATTAAGCTCGTGTCTTTTTATATGAAGAAGACTTTATTGCACGAGAGGCGATATAGATGATTTAAATGAATTGGCTAACTAGGCCTAATTCTGCTGACAGGGCTTGACGAAATGCTTGCTATACAGCTTGCGAAGATACTTTCTGAACATCACAGAAAATTTGTATTTTCGTATAGCATTTCTATTCTTTTGCGACGGTGTGGAGTTATCAACCGTCGGCGAGGCATAGATCGACTACAAGGCCTTATACTGGCTGTCGATTATTTTCATTGATTGTGATTTAATCAATGGTGTCAACTTGTTTGCAAATCAAGTTGTTACACAACCTCGACTTGTATCTGTTTGTGATGTAAACAGATGCGCTTCTTCAGGTTATCCGTTTATTGTCATTTTATATTGCTTCAGGGTCTTCTGGTTTGACCGCAATTTATAATGACTTGCATTGATATCCTTCCTCGAGAATACGAAGTCCGTGTTGCCGGAGATTCTCATTAAGAGGAAGTGATCTAACTCTTGGATTGATCTGTGCAAATCCCTTTACACTAGCACAATGTGTGCCTCCTTTTCCTTTCTAATATTCGCGATATTCCATTACACCTTTATACCATTTTGCCTTTATTGATTGTCGATCGACTGTTCTACTGCACGTACTATAATCTATGCAGCGGAATCCTCCGTTTGCAATTCGGAGTTCTCAACGTGCGTACTTCAATCTACACGTCGATATCCTTGATCTTCCTGGCAGACGTACTTCAATCTATCCGCGAGGATACTGGGTTATTGTCAGTTGGCCCAGTGAGTCATTTCTTGACGATTGGCTTATAGGTTTGTGGTAATGGTATAAATCCATTTTCTTGTTAACATTGCTAATACTTCTATTGTAGGAACCGCTGTCGGTCCGAAGCATTATTGTGCGAATGTTTAACTAAGATTTTGTGTATTCGTTTTATTGATATTGGACTAGACATGAGTTTATTCAAAGCCTAGGTGACTACAGGTCCTTATGTTGAGGACGTCACAGATCTTGCCATGCATGCATACTTTGAATCATATGCAGTTAGCTTTGATCTAGTGGCTCAGATTTAACTCATTGGCATAAACTGTAAAAGTCTGCTTTTATAGATGATCTAAACCGTCACACATATACACCCTTCATTCGAAGGATTTGTGTCTACGCGGTTGGTTTTATTGATCATGCAGAGGTTTATTGGTGTATTATTTGAATCGTGATGTGATTCGATACAACCTGCTTGTCACAGATTTTCACGTTTTCACCTCTTCACGTGACCAAGACATCATTTAACATCAGCGCTAGGCTGTTCAGAAAGGAACGAACTGGTACGCGAAGTACTAACAGTCCTAGACGCCCCGAAGGTCCAGGTCTAGTCACGTGACATATCACGTGATATCCACACATGTGACAAGTAGTGCTGGTATTAGGTAAGCCTAACTTATACAGTAATATCATCCCATCTAGAAGCAATGGTCGGACTCCGGAAGAATCCAACGAAGGGGATACATGCCACCGGAGATATGCCCTTAAGGGGATATTAGTTCACATGCACGAGGTAGATAGATACCACGCCACCGGAGATGTAGCCATTACGGGCAATACCATTCCCATGGTCTTACTAAGTAGTTCGGAGGTTCGGCATGCATGACACATGTAGTCTGACAGGTAGTGGTAACCAATCAGACAATGTCCATTAGCTAGTGGTTCTGGGGTATCAGGGTACCAAGGGTCCCTCCGCTCATGTATATAAGCCAGAGCTCTGAGACGCATAAGTCCCCCAGACTTATTCTCATCTCTGCTACGCCTATCCATATAGTGTCACCAGTGACCACTTGCAAGTCGCTGCTTTATCTTGATCATCTTTGTGTCCATCCTTACGTCGTCAACAGTCAGTAAGTGTTTGATCATAAGGTCATAGGCTTAGTCGGCGCTCTGCGTCCTAAGTTTGTGATAGAAGAATAAGTCTGCTTATCTTACCTGCCTCGAGTGCCTGCCCAGCGTACTCACCGCAGTGTTGCGTCTTCGCACGTCCACCCGCACGTTAGCAGTGTCATATCTTCACCTGACGTTCCATCAGTCGCCGACTCTACCAGCGTAAGCCGCACCAAGGCATTGCACAGCATCGACGGTGTCATCCGTCGTCCTCGAGCAAGAACTCCAGAAGAGTTCTACGAGCAGCGGCCCATAAGACCCCTGCCAAGGCCAGGACACATCTCTACGGGAGGTCGGCCCCCTCACGGCACTAGTTCAGTTTCTATTATCCAGACTCCCTCGGTCAGACGACCGAGACTACCTGCAGGACCATCTGGTCCAGATCTCAATCAAGGAACATACGTCGAGACCGCTACTGGGTCTCATTTCATCTATCCTCTCGCCGTCTCCATCATCTCAACTCAACGCGTCGAAGGCACTCTTCGACAGATTCGTATTCTACTCACCAAACGATACCGTCGTCAGCTTGACGACCACGACATCCTTGATCTCGAGCATCTCATACTCAAGCTCGAATCCATCCGCACTGACATCGCAGAATTCAAGCTTCCCTTCGTTCACCAACACGTGGTTCACGACTTCTGTAACTACATCCAGGAGAGGAAGCATCAGGGCAGAGAAGCTCGCTGGATAATCAGAGATATTATCCAGAAATATCGTCTAGGAATACAGGTCACAGGGCAACATTTGCTGTAGATACGAATATTCATTTTGTATATGTCTTCATCTGGTGATTCGAACAATCTTGATAACTTCGAGCAGTTAAATTCAATCGGTCACACCTTCGATTATCTTTGGGATTCAATTCCACGTGCTCTTCGAGACAGAGCAGGCGAAGCGTTTGCTACATATGAGGATACTTTCGACATCGATTACCACGACGTATATCACATCTACGCCCTTCAAATCTATCCAGAATTTGTTTGGAGGAACGTCGCGGTTCATATCTGCTATATCCCTATTGGATCCGAAGAACCCGAAGACCGTCTCACCGAAGCTTACAATAGCTTCGTCGATTGGCTCGAAGAAGTCGAGCGTATTTGCGAAATTCATCATAATCACCAGTGGCCCGCAGTCAGGGACAAAACCAGGTTTTTGTGGCAACCCTTCGTCAAGGTCATCCATCGAGACCTTTGGTTGCTGCGAAACCAACGCTCAGGACGAGTAATTGCCCGACAGGCCACGATCGCCAATAGCCATATCGTCGAGTTCGAAGAACATCTTCGAGAAATAGAGGAAGAATTGTAAGATGACGACTCCCACTCCAAATGATCCAAGCTTCTCTCGGGCTCCATCTCCGGAGCTTCCTGCACATCTTAATATTGTTTTGCAACCCCCGAATCCTATCATTCGTCAAGCCCTTGCCGACACGGTGCTCCCAAATGCGAACATACCCAAAAATGTAAAAAATTGGGTAGTCGATCTCGTCACAAACGTGGTAGAAGAGATGCGTCAACAAACGGTGGCGCATTACGAAAATCTTATCCAGCGCCAAGCGCATACAATGGAATGTAACACCACGGAGTTTCACAATCGGACGGTCTTCTTAGACCAACATCGTCAACAATCTGAGTCTCGAATCGCAGACTTGGAGAAAACCTCGTCAGCTTTACTTGAGGAAAACAAGACCACTAACGAAGCATTTGTGGCATTTGACGATGAGGTCAAGGATCTCCAAACCAGGATGGAAGACCTGAAGAAATCACACGATTGACTTCGCGCATGGGCATCTACGCAGGGACGGAAAGTAGGGCAAGGCGGTAACAATGTCGACGACACGGACGACGACGATGAGCCGTCGTTTGGTCACAAGGGTAAAGGCGTAAAAATTGACCAACCAGAAAAATATGGTGGCAATAAGGACGGAGTCAATCTCGATGATTGGCTCAAACAAGTCATGCTCTGGTTGAAATATACCGGACATACCAAAGACGAGTCCAAAATTATGTCTACCCTCTTGCTCCTGAAAGGAGGAGCACGCGAATACATGCGACATTGGATTACCGAAATAAACGAAAATAATAAGGCACCAGGAACTTGGGCGGAGTTCGTCGCTGAACTTCGCACGGCATATGAATCATTGGACAAGGACGACAAGAAGCGAACGGAGTTAGAAGCCTTCATCAAGAAGGATCATCGAGACTTCCAAAAGTTCGCAGAAGACTTCCGTCCAAAGGCAACTGGTACAGGCTTCTCGGACCAAGACCTGATCGAAAAGATCAAGAAACATATCCCGGAGAAAACATGGCTGCTCATGCTGGTGGATACCACTAAGGACAACTGGCCCAAGAAGTGGACCGAGTTCCTTACATTCGCACTCCGGATATTCACATCACTACAACGAGAAGGCCACCATGCCAAGGCCGAAACCAAGGACCCGAATGCTATGGAGGTTGATGCAGTCGGGAAGAAGGGAAAGAGTAAATCGGGCAAAGCGCGAAGCGTGCAAGACGACAAGTTGGTCTGCGCCAACTGCAAGAAGAACAAGCCGACGTTCTTCAAATCGTCGAAACACTTCGGCAAGTATTGCACCGATTGTTTCAAATTGGACCATGTCAAGAGGCAGATTGAGAAGGAGAAAGAGACAGCTGCGAAGAAGAAGGACGTGAAGAAGAAGGACGACACCAGGAATAAATCCAAGTCGTCCAAGACGCGACAGGTAGTATCTGATTCCACTTCATCAGATACAGAGAGCGAAAGCTCTGATACCGAAGAAGAGAAGAAGCCAAAGAAAAAGAGCTCTCCCTCTAAGACTAAGGGGAAGGGTAAGGAGACAGCTGCGCATATCAGCGACCACAGCATCCACTCGGAAAGCGAGCCTGATGCATCCGAGTCAGACGAAGATTTCGCCGTGATCCTCTCAAGGCTCAGGCGCCTGAGGGCGAATGGATCCAGTTCATCAAGGAAGGCGGGAGAGGGCTCTTCAAGGAGGAATCAGAAGGGTTTTCTCAAAGGGGATCTGTAGGCAGCTCGTCAGAGTCCCCAGAACATTATATAAGACCTGTACATTTAGCACCCGAATTAGACACCTCTGTAGATCGTCGCAACGCAGAGGATGATAATGTAACAATAAAGAATTCGTCTCCAAATTTATCATCATTCTATTTACCAGTTACATTATGGGTGTACGGCAAAAAATTGAGCGCCGAAGCTTTAGTCGACTCAGGAGCATATTCCATGTACATCAGCAAGCAATTCGTAAAGAACAATCGAATTGCGACCTCCAAGCTTAATACAACATACAAAGTGTACAATGCTGATGGATCCCAAAACAAACATGGAGAAATAACTGACTATGTAAAAGCATACCTCAAAGTCGGAGATCATGGTTCCACCCACCGTCTGCTAGTCACGGACATCGGGAAATTAGACATGATCATTGGGATGTCATACTTACATCAGCATAATCCAGAAATCAACTGGCAAGCTGGAGAATGGAAATACTCACGATGCCCAAGTACGTGTCACCACCAGAGGCTTCGTAAAAGACAACAAGCCATTGCGAGAGAGGAAGCTGAAGAAATCTCGCAACGAGCACAACAAGTGGCAGATGAGGAGCCAACTGCATTCTGAATGTTTAATGGACACAACATCGATGCAGTAAATCCTATCATCTCGTGGGTCGAAATGGACGACCCCGAAGC